TCTTTTCCATGGAACACTGTAAACCACTCTCATTCTTTCATCCGACACAATCATAAAAATTCACGTAAATACATGTTGTTGACTACTAATTACCCCATACTACTAACAATCATTGTTGATCAGATTTAATGGTAGTGTTGTTATGACTGAATGTAAACAGAAGTGAATTTATTTTTTTTTACAAAACTATCCATCTCATCTCATTTTTTTTTGTAAACTGTGAACAATAATCATAATAATAATAATAATAAACATTGAAATTATTGTGACTGTGAAATTAAGATGATAATTTATACTCAGCTGCTTCACTAATCATGTTTCAAAAGCTAATTAAGCGTATAATATTTTATATATACCGGCATTAATAATTTTTAATTTATTAAAACAAATTCAGTAAGTAACAAGTTGTCAATGTGTACAATAACTAAACTAGATTAATATGTATCTGTAGAAAATTGAAGTGACAATTAATCATCATGGACGATATAAAATATCAAACAATAAATATGTCACTAGAAAGGTGAGAAATGACAAATGTACCTGTCAGAGTTACACTGTAAATGTATAATAAATCAGCTTAACATATTGTCTGCGTTTAATATACAGTTGTGACCGAAAACTTCTTCTTCTTCTTCTTAGGTGTGTGCTTAAGACAAGTTTGTATTGTAGTGTGTCGATTTACTGCGTAATTAGCTCGTCCAGACAATCGTTACTAAATTGCGCCTGACGGTTTATAAATCAGAAGGCGAACTTGTAGTGTTGAATACGTTTATTTGGGACACACCACAAAGTGAAGCGGAGAAGCAGTGAATAAAACGAATGAAGCGACGTGAATTGGAGAAGGCTGTTGAGCCAACTCCCAGGATTACAATGTGAATGAATGGGTGAAGCGCGTTGGAGAAGGCTAATGAGCCAGCTCAAAGAAATAGAACATGACTGAGAATATATAATCAGAGAAAAATAAGACAAATATGTGATCAACGAGATAGGCATGCACACACATGAGGTACTACAGTATTATTAGTGTTTGAGATTCGTTGTTTTGAGTTTACGGCTAATGTATTGATTTTCATTAGACATTAACACTAAATATGACCTATCCATTTCTTAGTGACCCCATAAAATTACACTGTATCATCAGTTATTTTTAAACTTTCTAGTAATCATTTTATTGTGTGTTTATTTAAAGCGTTATATTCTTAATGAAATACAATTATATCTTAATGCTTTTGTGAATTACTTTCAATTAAGTTTTCATAGTATTTTGATAGAACAGTGGAAAAGACGTAATTGATCTGAAAAATGTTGTGATGTATTTGCGCTCTATACATTTCGAACAATCTGGTCACACATATTTACTTTTCAAGGCATTTTATATGAAGATTAATAAAAAGGTCAATTAAATAAAAGTTCAAATAGACATAAGCTGATAATTGTAAATTAAAGAGAGAGAAAATTAACATTATATGAAAAGAATAAGAATTCAAGGTTACAACGTCTTCTGACTGTTCTATCAAAATTTATAAAAGGGACTAATTGTTTTAAATTTCATAGTATTATCGAATCCTTACATAGAACAATGTTCTTTCGCCATACTTATAAATTAATAATATTAGGTACATTGAGTTTGATTTCTTTATTGAAACTTCACGTAAATTTTTTGTCAAAAGTTATCACTCACCGAAGACAATAGCAGATGGTCATGCCATGTCGTGAATTGATTGAAGTTAGATTTGAACATCGTTGGATACCACCTATTCAGTAGTCTAGGGATTAGACGTCTTTGCACGAGACCAAAGGTTCTGGGTATCACTCCCACTGCTGATGAATTCTATACTAGCACGAAACCGCTTCCAGACTTCTAATTGTAATCTCAAAATGGTTCACAATTTTAATGAAATACTGCATAGTTAAATGTTTGATTCTTTGATTTTCTATTACTTTTTCAATCATGTTTTTTATTCTTGTCTTTTATGTTTCATGTGATGTTCAGTTTTTTTTTCTTCATTCGAATAATCGATGAAGTTTTGTAGAAATTGATCTAATGCTTGAGTGGTTTTTGTCATAGATTAATATCAGCTAAAAAAACCAAGGTGTACTAGTTGTCAGATATTTCTCATCTTATTGTGGGACATCTTAGAAATGACCATCTACAGCTCTCTATCTAACGATCTAAACAGAAGATATTCAAGTCACGCAGAGAGAGCATTTATAAACATTAAATCACTAGGTTTGACACTCAACGATACACATTTCCAACTCGAATCTGTTCATGATATAGTGCAGCAGTCATCCAATTTCTTTCTTCATTCGGATACTTTTTCATTCATGATATATTTGAGCTCAATCAACCATGACTTACTTAAACTTTAAAGAATTTTCTCATAGTAAATCCCTAGTGAATATACTAATTATATTATCGATGTTTAGTTTTTGTAAGATTCATTTGAATAGTTTTCATACTAGGAATGTTCAGTGCCTTCTATTTTACAGTAATGTCAATCTTCGACAAATATACCTAATCATAAATTTAACCTTAAATGTTAAACTATGTTTGCGATATAACATCATTCCTAGTTCCATTCTATATGCAATCGAAAAAATAAAATGTCACAATCATTGTTATAAAAAACAGTACCGGTAGTAATATTAATCACAACAGTACAAACATCAATTGACCTGTGCGCTTTTCTCTTTCCGTCTATTTTTTTGTATGGTTATCTCCCTAATGAATTAACCTGATCAATTCATAAACTACTTTGTACTTTAAGCATTCAAAAAAATTTTTAGAAGAAATCAAATCCCCTGCTGATTCACAATGAATATAATCACTATCAGTGCAAACTTCTTTATATCAGTTGATTTTGTGATACTTTGAGAAGTTCAGAATTAGTTTTTTTTTTAAGGAAAAGCAATAGAATACTATAAACTGTTGGTTAATCAGTTATTAGTTTATATATGTTATTATCGATTATCCTTTTATCAGTCAGTCAGTTACTACAATGTAGAACTTCGTGTATAAGTACACCAGTTCGGGTTACCATACCACATTAGCACAGAGACGCAACTGTCAATTCAAATCCCATAGTGGTGGCGATAGTAGACGTATTAATGGCAATGAGGAAGACTAGGGTTTGAAGATATTATTCAAGAAGTATAATTCAGTGAGATAAGGTTAGAAAGACAAAGGTAGAGGTGCTGACGATTCCGGAAGATTAGGATTAGAGAGAGCACAATGAATGGATGCACTTGCGCCATTGCAAACGATTTTGAGCCATGTCGTTCAAGGTCTCTAACCATTGGTGACTTTCGTCTCGCGGACCCCAACCAGGTAGTCTACATCTACCAACATGACTCAGTCCACTTGTCAATCACTTCATGGATTTGTGCCATGTTTTGGTTTGGGCGCCCCTAGCTTCTTTCCAACCTACTCCTACACCACAAAACATAGCTCGTCGAGGCAGTCGGCAGTTAGCCATACGTAACCCATGTCCTTACCACCTCAACTGATGAACATTCACTACTTCATCTACTGATCTACCATACCTACCTAGAACTCGTTTCCTTACTATAGCATTGCTCACTTGGTTGCCCCAGGATACACGAGGAATGCTTCTAATACCAGTAACCTACTATTTGATTAGTCGCAATCAAATTATCCTTTTGTAAAATTTATCGTCTAGAGAGATTGAGCATTGATTGTCTAGTAGTAGTTACACTACTCAAGCGTCAACATAATACGTCACTCTTTCAAACCTTGCTCTACCTTTCTCCGTTTGAACAATCCGTTACTAGCGATGCCATTAGCTATTTTAAATTTATTTTATCATTCACTTGAATCGGTCGTGCTTTTACAATTAGAATGGTTTAAAGGCAAAATATCTCTGCTTCATTTGCTAAGTTAATAGGGAAACTCACTAACCTATTTAATATATAATAATAAAACAAATAAGCACTTTACATTTTTTAGTGTATACAACCTCACTTAAATCTGAGTTTGTTTACGTTTCATTTGGTTAAACCATTTTAATAATTTATGTAACATAGCATCATTACAACAGGAATAACTTATCTAGACCATCGTACTTTTATTATAGTTACGCTTGTACGAGCATGTACGCTTGAGTACTGCTTACCGCCCACGCACACATTTAGTCTACTTGCTTTAACGTTAATGACTTAAATAATTCAATGACTCATTCATTTTCCTATATACATTTTAATCCTACTTACTCACTCACGTATCATTTGCGCTTCCCCTTAGTATGCCAGTGTTTTCGTGATCAGTATGATGCGATAATAAACGTTATAAACTCTTCGTATTCCTCTTCTGATTCATACACCGTTGGGCGTTATCAGGATAAGCCATAAACGAAGCTTAGAATATTCACCGGCACAGAATTTATGAGCCCACATATGTAACTTCGAAAGAAAAGAAGAAATTACCATATTCAAACCTTATTCTATCCTCTTTGATCTAGGCTATTAAATAACTTTGTCATTTAGAAAGCAGTAATTCCTTGAAGATCTCATCTATACTTTGCTGATTTATACCAACTACCAATTGGCTCTTTTTATATAGAGTCATTTAATTGTGTTGGTTCAACTCTAAATATAAGCCATTAGTTCTCTTTTCTACGCTACAACTGTAATCATCATGATTATGAAGTAATGTATTTCTTAGCGAAAATGTCACCCGAAATCATTCAAAACATCACTGTTTTCATCATTTAATTTTCACTGTGTTATTTTCTTTCCCGAAGGTTGATTTGTCGATATCTTGTGTTCCTCTTTAAGATCATCTTAGCCAGTCAAATTTTTATGTTATTTACTAAGAATCTATGTGTATCGCATAGGTACATATATGAATTGACAAAAGTAATCTGTTAGAGTATTTGAAAGATTCATTATTCAACTATTATTTGAAAAACCTAATGTGGTTTAATTTCTAAAAAATAAAATAATCTATTTCCTTTTCATTTATCATTTCATTATAAAAGGCACATTGTATTCGTGGTGGTTGTCGTGATGCTGATGGTTGGTGTCGTGTATTATGGGGTAAAACTGCTAGACGTGCTGATGAACATTGTTTTTATGAAAATGAAGTAAGAAGTAGAAAATCTAATGTAGATTCTGTAGCAAATTGTGGCATTCATCGACCATTATCGAAAGATCGTTGGGAAGATGTGAAAACATGGACAGGAATAGCTTGTGAAACATGGTAATTTAACTAACTATATTAAATATGTATATGAATTTTCTGATATTGTTTATCATTATAACTTGATGCGTAATCAAGAAGAGGGAAAGTTTGGAGCCCGTAGGATTGACCTAATAAATTAATCCAAATGCATTCATCGTGATCAGTGATGATGATTATGATGACTATTATTAAATGAAATTTTAAAAAAAATTGAACATTGATTTTGATATTAATGTTGTCATCAAGTTGAGATTTGGTGTGATGAAAATTTGAAACAAATCTTCATCATGATTTAATGCCAATAATAAAATCATCAGGAACTAAAATACCTTTTTCCACACTGCGTACATACACTCACACTGAGCTTCATATTTTATCGGAAGAAGGGCGAACAAATCAACAATTTCGAATCCGACTTTTCTAACTCCATGAGTTATATCATAAATTAAACTGAAGTTGAGAATGTACAAACCAATAAACTCTGTCTCATTAAATTAAATGGGATACTGAATGAGGTATCTGAAAACTGATCTCAATGATAGAGATGCATTCATATTTAACTGTCCCCCTAAGTATCTTATTTCTATTTATTTGTTTTCCATATATTGTATTCCTGTTTGGGATGTCAGATCCCCAGAACTCACTTAATAAATGCCTTATTTTTGGATTTATTTCATGGGCTGATCAGTTGACCTTGAGATCACATTTCCCACCAGGAGAATCCTTGGCTGTAATTGGTTACTATGTCATTTTAGTGTGCTATCTTATGACTCTCCCAAGGACGTCTCTATGGTGTATAAATAAACGTGATTTGTATGCTTGGATTCATTGTGTGCTGGCTGAGTGTATGTAGAATACACTTTCTACGCTATATCAAGACTCCTTGCTAGTACATTCGGGTCAAGGGATCACAGTAGCCTACCTTGACGCTGGTTCATTGTTTTGTTCTCGTTATTCGACTAAGGTGAACCCGTAATATTTCTAAGCATACCTAGAGACGAATGTAACAATTCCTTTTCCCTGGACTGTGTTTTAGTTATAAGATGCAGGATAAATATTTTTTTCAATCCTACTTGTTGGAAGTTGTCAGTTGAATGTATATTTATTTTAATGTTGATTTTTATACTGAAACTCGAATTCGCTACCTACCACTTCAAATCCAAGCTTTTTGGATTTCATTCTTGACGACAATGTCAGCATACACCAATACCTTGTATTCGTACCTGATATCAAGGTATTCAGCTTATTCAATGCATTTATGTTGAAAATTATTCTGTACTCACAAGTTATCTGTTTTTTTTTTACATTTCCCATCAGTGTTCATCGTGGTTGTCTTCGCATTTTTTGTTTAATTAGATTTATTTGCTCGATTTATTTTGACACCGATTACAATGATACACATGTTAAAAACATCTGTTGTATTAAAGAACAAAGTCTATTTGTTTTCACTATAGTTAATATGCTTGAACTCTATGGTTCAACATTATTACGTAACATGTTTTCAGTGTATACCTGTAGGTAGAATCAATCCGACAAAGTTTAGAACACTGATCTTAGTCTTAGTAATTTGCTCGTCATCAAATAGCGCTTGAAGGTTAGAAATCAGAAAGCAAACACGAGGGATTGAATATGTTTATTTTTGACACGCCACAAAATAGATCAGTAGACCACACACACAGAGAGAGAGCAGTGCAAGCACATTAGCGAGTGAGCCGACGAATTGGTGAATGTATTTATAAGATTCAAATGTGCATATACATACTTAGGGAAATGTCGAATCATTGAGATATTTAAGAGGTTAACATTAAAGCGAATAGTAGGAATATGCGCCTAGGCGTAAGCAATGTTCAGTCGTACCAGCTCATACAAACCAAACAATAGTAAAAGCCAATGTTACACTTCAATCTTATGTTTTATTTTCTCCTGTTTTGTTTATGTGTGCTGGTCATTTCCAATTTTTTTTTAAAAATTCAACATTATACTTTTAAAAAAAATAGTACAATGAGGGTAGACTACTAATTGATTGGTTTTCACTAACTATTTAGTTGTTTAACTAAAATACGTAGGATGTGGCTAGTAGTGGAATCAAAAACACACGTTTCATCTTATTTTGGTTTTGTGGGTACTCGATTAAATTCCTGGAGTGAGCAATAACTTTGATATGAAGGTACATTCAGCTGACGAGTCCGAAATAAGACGAAACGCTCGACCTGGATTCTACTGCATGCCAAATTCTATCTATGCTACGTCAACTTGTATCATAATGTCTATATCAACACAATCTGCATAGGATTCCCATATGGCAACTAAGTCTAAACAAATTTCATTCAAAATTAAAAACCATCTCAAATTGAACTATCCTAAATGATTTACAGTCGTTAGATCACTGTGATTTTGTTGATCTTTTTTTGCTGGTATACACGGATTTTCATAGGCTGTCTATGTTATTAGGGATGAATATCTTCTTTTTCAATCTAGTTGAAAATTTTCATCAAGTATAAAATAAATGCACAGAAAATCTGTAAGAGTGCAGTTTGCGACCAACCTAAAATACTGCTGTTATAACTCTGTCTTTATTACAACCCAGCTGTTTCTAGTGCGTAGTTTTCTTGAGCACCATTTCACTCGAAACGTTCCTACGATTCAGAACACGGTTGAAGAGGGAAGAGATTATATTCCAGTAAGAAGTTCCACAGGAAAAAACGTTAGTATATTTATAGTTTTTACATGCGAATATTCTAGAATGTTCCCCTAGTTTCGACTAGTGCTGATTGAATACGGAAGAGCCAATCAGTGTGTAACAACCCAATCCAATCTATGTCCCGCTAACAACTGCTTGCTTTTGATTCCAATCTTCAACCAATAGTCAGAAAGTCATAACTCAATAAGAGTAATTCATTGTGTAGGATCTTAATGGTTATAGAAAATTTATTATTTTTCTGACATAAATTTTTTCGAGAGAAAAAAATCTCATCACATAACCTCATTAATCTAGGTAAAGAGATTTATTTCCTAAAATTTTTTTTCTCAGCAATTCTAATGACTTTTACATAAAATTCATCACCATAAAATCTTTATTCATAAATTCACCAGTGAATTATTATAGTCATGAAATTAGAGTAAAACACTTATTGTTGCTATATTGATTTGAAGAAATTTGGTGTGAAAATTGTTACCCTAACATGAAGCATTTTCGCTTCATCAGCTCACTTATTATTCATGGACTCTCTGATTTCTTCGCAAATTTACTATAATCAAACTAAAGTGATTGATTCATGTGTTCTGTTACATGTTATGCTCCTCAGGTTTTCGGGTTAGTTTCACAACTCAGTCAATTGCATCATGATTTAGGGATAATGGTAACTTCTCTGTTTTATATGCAATCTAAACAGATCGAATTCAGTATTTCATACATTTAACATTATTAATTATTACTCTTTAATTCCCAGTTACAATTTTTCGTTATCCTTTTGAACATTTCAAGCAGTATACAAGTGTATTTCTACTTCTTGTTATACCGTAACATTTGAATTTTTCGCAAAAACTTATAAGCTTCGTTCTGGATTATCATTGACTCACTGAAACCTGTAAAAGTTATCCCGTTTTGAATTCCGTGCAAAACTAGAAAGTCGTTCTGACTAGCCCACATTTATACTGGAAATAACATTCTCTGTAAAACAAAGTGTTACTCATATCTATGAAAGTCAATTATGAGAATGTAGAAGTGAATTATAGGGTACCATTAATTACCAATGTTCAACTTGATAATTTCAAATCATTTGAGTATTTGGTGGATTGTTAATCAGCAAACTGATACATTTGTAGTATTTCAGTAAGTAGAAGTGAGTTATTCTCCATAGTTAACTCAAGGGGAATTTTCTTCTTGTGTCGGTAGTTATTGGTCGTCGTAAGTTCAAAGACATTCGAAATGTGTGAACTCCATATACTTTATGATGTAATCATTTTTTTTTAATTTTCAGACTAATATAATTGTCAAACATCAATTTATACAATCGTACAGTTTCAGTACGTGATATCGTTAAAAAAAACATTCTCTAAATTATGTCTATTTCACATTCGATAGTAATTATAGCTTATTCTATTTGTCAATCAGAACAGAAAGTATTTTGATTTTTTTTAAAAAAAAAGAAACTGTATCTATTTTTTCTTCACCATTCAGGCATGATACATCTTGTGGTCGATTATGGTGTCAGCATCAAAATGAAAAAGCTATGCTTCTTGGTTGGATTCAATCACAAACACGTGTTATTCATTCATCGGGTCAATCATGTTCAGCGCTAGTTTATGATCCAGTTTGGCCAGCTTCAGATCCTTCTACATGGGATGAGAATAAATTAGTTCAAATTAATGCAAATGGTGCAGGTGTTGGCATGTATTCAGCAACTACACAAGATGCTGGCATGGTTCCTGATGGAACACCTTGTTCTCGAGGTGTAAGTTTAATCAAGTCTTTAATACCGTTTTAAAAAACGTTATTCATGGATTCTTATATTTCATCACTTTCAGTTGTCCTATTTGTATGGTTCCCCTAGCAAACCTTTAGGTTCAGTGTAATACATAAGGAATTATCTTTGTTTCATATAAATTAACTAATGCAAACTAATGCAAAGTTTACCCTATTATGTAATTATTGATTGGCCTAAATTAAATCGTTGTACATGGTTTATTTTAATTTAGGTTTATAAAACCTACTTAAATAGTAGATTTCTGTTATTTGTTTAAATCAAATTGTTGTTTTTTAGTTCAGTTGTGTTTAGCACTTAATTTCAAGATAGAGAATTTATTCCTATGTTGTTTCCAGGTCATGTATTACTGTATTTTTTTTTTGATAAGTTTACTCAATTAACATAAGATCTAATTCCTATGCGCTTCTAATAACCTCAGATTAAATCTACGCAACAGCTTGAATACAACAATTGGCATGGATTGAAACATTGTTTGTTACAATTATATAAATTTACCCCTGTATTGTCAAGGGCAATTTTACATTGGTTTTCAGGAGAACCAAAGAGACTGCACACGTTTTACCATTACTACATAAACAGTTCGGCTCAATCCTGTGGTGCAACCTCACAGGTACCTGATACCCTGGTGGACCATTCACAACATTTCATATACACACACTGGTATATATATATATATATTTCCGATCCATGATCGCGTCAATCAATATACACCGCATGAACAGGCCATTTCGACCCATCCCGCTTACATGACTGTCAAACTCATTATTATTAGCAATGGTGATATGTAATACAGCACCCCAATAACAATGGCCCTGGGGTATGTTGCAAAACAACCACCTATATCAATGAAATCGGTCACCCTGCTAACCAATTTTGTATATGGACTGTTAGCGATGCTTACCAAAGCAAAGCCAAGCCATCCACAATATTCACAGCGAACCTCTAGTCTCATAGGAGACCTTCAGCTCTATATAGAGCAGGATAGCATTTGGTGTATACATATATGGCGTAGGATAGTAGAAGAGGCAGGCCAGCTTGATGTAAATAGGCCCAAACACTTCTATTACCCTTTGTCTCATGTTTACTCAATTAACGTACTATTATTACATAACCTTCTGCTGATTGTTTTATCCTCTCTCTCTCTCTCTCTGTATGTATGTATGATGAACTAACGCATTGCACATATTCTGCTTTTGTATATCGTCTTGTTTTCAATGCGTTCTCCGTTCAAAGTGATATCATTGTTTGTCTCTTGTTTTTGTAAAACTAAATTCATCTTTGTCAGAGTGATTTCTTCTCATTAGTGTACTAAAAGTTGAATTGAATTTTCTTTTTCATATTTCCCTTCTTTTTGTACAGAAAACTATATACTTTTCAGGTATATGTCATTATGACTAAATTATATATTGATCCACCGAATACTTTAGTGCTTTGAAGATAAATTCCACCCGTGGATACATAATAATATTCATTCATTCATTCATTATGTTTGTTGTGCATTTTATGATTATGTAATCAATGCGACAACTATTATCTTTGGATGACATTTAAATGATGATATTTGAAACACTGATTGTCTCCAATTGATGCAAGTTTGAAAACAAAAAAATGCTGTCATGTATTTCAGTGATTAAATAGTATTGTTCTCATTTTCAAACCTAAAGGTTCTTAGTTTGCATCACTTATGTTTGTAGGATTTTTAAATGTATATTTCTACCGGAGCGTCAACTTTGAGCGAAATGGTTGTCACACAGCTTTGTTTTTGGCTGTCGATAGTTCTACAACTAATAACGTCATGTTAGTTTATTTTAAAAAGTTTGGGTTTATAATGCAAGAAGATGGCTAACGTTCAGCGACAACACCGTGCTAATGACATTGAGTTTCGTCTTTATGTGTTTGAACTGGAACAACGACAGACAATCTGATTAGTTATACCATCTTCAGGAACTATTGTTTTCTAATTTGGACCAGATTTACGAATGTTATTCTAGTGGCTTTTACAATAAACCCTATTTATCGATTCTGAGACGAGGTATAAAAAGCGGGTAAATGATCAGTTTGTGACATAGCTTCGTGGTATGGGAGGAATCTGTTTATTAGGACTGGCATTCATTGCTTCATCACGGCTTCCTAGTTTGGGTCTTAGTTATAGTGCAACCAAATGACTTAAGATGTTTAGAGACAGGATTCAGAATCGAGAAGACTATAATGATCTTGCTAAAAAATAATCTTTTTACCATTCTTCATAAAAATGAAAGGGGTTGCCGTAGTCAGAAAAAATTTTGTTTGATCATCCTTGTAGCAGAACTGCAACTCCTATGTTATTCAATATTCTTGTTTACTTAGTTTTTTAAATTGTACTCCTCTTTCTTTTATTTCTTAACAATTTCATTCCTTTACTTATATGTGTAATGGTCAGTCAGTGCCTCAGTAATTTCGTGGCCGCCAGTAATCGATATGTTCTTAGACTTCCTTTCAATGAATTAATTAGGTTAACATGTACATGTATATTACTTAGGAAAATGAATGAGTCATCGAAATATTTAAGGAGCTAACAACAAAGCGAATAAGATGAATATGTACGTAGGCGGTAAGCAATATTGAATTGTACCAGCCCATAATAAAAGTCAATGGTACATATCAGTTATTGCTATTGCAAATGACTCAAATTCAATGAATTAATCAAAAAGGCTTAAAACTAAATTCAATATGAACAAACTCGAACTTATGTGAAGTTACTATATATATATATAGTATGGTCCTTATTTGGTTGAGTCCCTTCATAACTAGCTTTTGTGCATCAAGTTGAGTTGACGTCATTTGATGGTAATGCGAAATACATTGAAATCATACTATAAATGTTAATATGTTGTCGAAAAGGGTTATTAATTTCTTTCGGATTCACACCGTAGATGATCACACAATTGAAAACCGGTTGATTTCAATGCTCCATTTCTAGGAACACAAATCAACAGCTGCGTTTTTTCTCTTAGCAACTATTGAATAAATACTTCATGATTTTATTGTTTCTCTTCAGTTTTGTTACAATGGTTCGTGTAAATCAATCAATGATCTTCGTCGTCCACATTCATGTTACTGTAATGGTCGTGGTGTAAGTTTTTTACTGTTAGTAAAAAAATATTACTCTTTGTAACATAATAATATTATCTGAAATCAATCATTACTTTTAGATGAATACATTCAATATTTAATTTAATAATGCCAATATTATTGAAATTATTTTAACATTGTTTTTAGTCGTACATAAACATTCGCTTTTTTGTTTATTAAGAAATGAAATTCCAAATATTATATCATATTCTACTTAATTAACAAACATTATCCGACCACTTACTTTTGACCGATTTGGTCTCGTGTGCTTTCATGGGTATGAGGGTGGATGTTACTTCCCAGCTGCACACACTGTGGGAGAGCTCTGGTTGTTTTCAAAAGAGGCATCGCCCTCGTGACATCCGAAGGAACTCGGCTTTCATCATGAGACATCATAACTCTTCTAAATGAAGACCTTCTAACTCCCAGAGCAGAGTTTAAATGGTTTGAATTATTTTTATGGCAACTTGAACTGATGTACGTACGTACAAAGTTCTATGTTGTTGTTGACCGATTGGACCACTTACTTATTGTGTTATTGGTTGTCTGGTAAAATCTACATCGGTCAGTCGAATCGAAAAATGCTGGGTACGAGTCCCACACTAAGCATTAACGATAGGTTTTGACTTCATTACTATCCAAAATTTGTGAATCCTGTAACTTCATGAACCAATCATTGTTAGACCACCATCAGAAACCTGAAAGCACTAGACGGCCGTTTCATCCTGGTACGGGACTCATCAACAGTACGCATCCACGATTCCTGCACCTCGCAGGATTCGAACCCAAGACCTTCGGTCTTCCACGCGAACGCCTAACCTGTAGACTACCGATCCGACATCCATCAGTGTTAATGGCCAACTTCGACCAAGCTATGGTTTTCTGTAACCTCACCCATTGTCTTCTGCAGTTACTGCCAACACCCCTACAGGGTTGAACTCCACTAGTCACGGCTGCCGACTAGAACTCCGAGAATTTCCTCATGAAGCTAGTAGCTAGTCATGCTTTTGCATGATAGAGTTAAGGATATTGTTGTTTTTCATTGGGATCGTGAATCAACCATTATGAGACCATCACTAGACTCCCGCGAGCAGGGGTCGTGGATGCTCACTGCTGAAGAGTTCCATACTAGGATTAAACGATCTCCTAGTGCTTCCTCTTTTCTAACGGTGGTCTAACAACGATTGATTTATGGTTTTAATGAAAAACAACGATCTCCCTAACTCTGTAATCAATTTTGTAAAACTCTACTATGGGATTTGAACGGACAATTACATCTCTGTGCCTTGAGGGTTCCAAGTGAGGGCTTGTCTTGTGACACAGTTCGGTGCTTTTCATAGTGTGTGTCCTATCCAATTCCACCGCTTCTTCCTGATTTCCTCCTCCACTGGAATCTGGTTTGTTCTCGCCCACAGTACGTTGTTACTGATGGTGTCTGGCCAACGAATCCGAAGTATTTTGCGTAGACAACTGTTGTTTGTAGTTCCAGATATTTTTCAACTGTAGAAATGCAGCCCTTGCTTTGCCAATCCGCGCCCTCACATCTGCATCGGATCCACCTTGATTGTCGACGACGTTAACCAGAAAAAATAATTCAAGCTCTTAAGTACTCTGTATCAAAACATGCAGATTGTGTGTCTGTCTATACTATGTCAATGAATTAAAATATTTATTTTATTGTTAGATGATGATTGTAGGCAGTTAGTGCGATTCCCTTAACCTAACTGTCATGCTCTTGGCAATTTGTCAACTAGGCATACCTACAACGTTTGAATGAATTTTTAGGGATTAAAAACATGAGTCATTCAGTTTCACCGTTTTGGCACGTTACTACTGAGCTGTTTGAATAGCTATTTTAGACAAGCATAACATTATTAACTAATAACTTACTGATCAGAGTCAATGTGCTTATTTTATCCTATCAATGATTGCTTTGTTACTGCCTACTATGCTTATTATTGAATTATGTTTAAATCTTTGTACTTTTCTCTTTTCTTTTTATTTTTAATATACAATTTTCAATACAGATTTGTAATAATTTAGGACATTGTCATTGTTCACCTGGTTACAAACCACCATATTGTGAAGAAAGTGGAAATGGTGGCAGTATAGACAGTGGACCGCCTCCAATAAGTAGTGAGTTTGTTCGTTAGTTAGTTAGTTAGTTAAAAAAATCGAGTTGTTTTTCCGAATTTTTCCACTGTCACTTGTAATCAGTCCGTGCTTTTATCTAGAAAAAAAAACACTAGCGATAAAAACAATAGACTTATGAAGTATGAACTGTTTGTCAATTAGTTAACTAACTCACTAAAAAAAAATAATCAACTCATAATCACCAATAATCTGGACATTTGTCGTCAAGTGTCCTCTACATTGTCTCATTTTGCCACAGATACTCTTATTAGTCAGTGTAGTATTGTGAGAAAATAAGCACAATGGAGAAAAACTTCAGAATTAACAAGAAATAATCATTAAATTTAATAGATTCTATTTAAAATAGTTTTCTACATCAAACAATGATGTAATAATTATGTGATGTAAAATACGCATACACGCTTAAATAGAACATTGTGTTTGAAAAAAATGTCTTGATCGAGGTTAAAAACCTTATACAAAAGTATTGATCAATAAAAAAAAACAATTTGAAATGATTTTAGAAAAATATTTCATATGGTTTAATATATATATGAATATTATAGAAGCTAAAAAAAATCAATAGCAAAGGAGAGTAGAATCTTTGTAGAGATGTATAGAATGATGTCATAATCAGAAACTGTTGGGGACGTTAGATCGCCAGAACTCACTTTGAAAGGGCTCTAATTTTGGATTTTTTTTTATGTTTTCGCGCATAAGTCGCTTAGTGGACCTTGAGCATCGATTTCCTACTCGGAAAATCCTTGACTGTCATTTGTTGGTGGATTATTTTGGCACGCTACTTTGGGGTTCGCCCAAGGATGTTTCTATCATGTATAAATAAGTTTGATTTGTGTGCTTTTCAACCTCATATTTTCTGGGTGCTTGTAAAATACACTTTCTACGCCTTGATATAGTTAGTCGTGCCGGGGACAAACGGATAAGTATAGTCTATTTAGTCACTAAGTCATTTACCCCGTCCCGTTTACCGAGAAGGGTGAACTCATAACAGTATTCAAGCATATCAATGGACGAGCATATCGAAAACATTGATTAGCTTAACAAAATTAGCAATGTTTCTAAGGTTAGAGAAATGGTATTCATCTGCCTTTATGAATTTGATATATACACTTCATTGGTAATACCTTAAGCCAGAGTGAAGTAAACGCTACGATGTCCGATTGCTGATTAGTTTGAAGCTTCAGAAAACTATGCATCAGAATGCTGAAAAGATAAAACAAGTTTTTAACTCGCCTAAATTTCACAATGTTTTTCATCTACACAAATAATTGTTCGCGTCTCATTTGACTACTTGTTTTTATTTAAGTAGTTAAAGGTGATTTTCTAAACGTTGCAGATTTTGTTTGACAATTAGTAGCTGTCAGACACTTTCCTTCTGTGCAAGCTGCCTAATAGATAAAGTAGTCAAATTTCAATTGAAAATTAAAAACTTCTATCCCTGGCTCCACTCATTGCGTTGTAGGCGACGGATCAGTATCTTTAGAAATCGCTTTCATATCAGACAAATACCACTTAGCAAATGTGATTTTCTTTTCTTGGACGATAAAAATTATTTGATATAAATTAAATAAATTGCTTTAAATGTACTGAGTCACATTATTCATTCTATTACTTATATGCTTATAGTAATCGTTGACCAGCGTGAAAATTGAGCATCTAACGAATTTTTGAAATCCATTATCCAAACTCATATTACATGTTTCTAATTTTTTTTCCCCAAGGGATCAACGATAATACATTACTTATTGTAATATGCTTACTGTTCTTTGTGATTCTACCTTTAATTGGTTTTGGAGTATACTATGTATTTATACGTTCTGGTAGATGTTTATTAAGTACATCAAAAGAATTTATTTATACAAGTAGTGGTTTACGTAAACCATGTGATAAGAATTGTACAGAATGTTTTTGTCAACTATTCAAGTGAGTTTTTCTGTTTATTTTACCTAATCATGTCATGCTTCTGATTATTAATAAGTGAAGTCAAATATATGCATATCCCATCGGAAAATCAATCAATCATTTTTGATAAACACAAAGCCTAGTGCAAATGTATGTTAGCTTACGTTCTCACATCACATCAACACGGTGATGTATAGTTCACAGAAAAGACAAAACAAAATCGAAATACTGCTCAAAATTAATGAGTGAATCGTTGCATCGAAAAGTAGGAAATGATAATGTAGATCAAGAATTAGAGTAAGATAAGAATCTACTCCACTGCGGGCAATTCTGACCCATAGTATCCAGCCTATTTAACTACTGGTCATTTGTATCGCACAGACACAAAGAAGATAGTTTACATTTATCATTATGGCTCAGTTCGATAGTCAATGAATCCATCGACTATGAATATGTAACATATGCCCCAGCTATTTTATTCCATGAAGACTACCAACCTGACCAACTGATTTGAAAGTCTTTACATAGTACATAGTTTTTCTATTGAAGATCATGTGTCGTTGGACAGAATTTTCATTGAGGTTTCCTGCAAGTACACTCTGATGACTCCATCTTCATATCTTACAATCTGAACATTATCATAGACTATAGAGTTGTCATTCAGTAATAAATGCCTCTAATTTCAATGAATCCTCTTTAATATGTAATCGTCATTATTAGTTTTTATATTCTCTTGTTGTTGTTTCCTTCAATATCACTATGTTAGTATTATGGTTTTCATTTTGTAACTCGTTTCTTTTCATTCGTTTATATATTAAGAAAAAAACATAAATATATATATATGTATGTATGTATTATTCAGTTTCCCAGCATCGTGTACAGAACTACTCACAAGATCTAATCGTACAAAAGTAGTAATCAACAATAGTAATACAATCATTGTGTCAAGTAATAATAATAATAATAAACATTATCATAACATCATTGATTATTATTATTATTATTATCATGTCGTTGAGTTAATTCACATTTTCATCGATTGATCAATTCATTTAAATAAAATTTGAAAATGATGTTGAGGCGTTCAATTGAACAATGTTCATTTATTTATTTTGATTCGATTTTAAAAAAATTAATTCCTTTTATAAATTTTAATGGAACAATGAGAAGACTTAATTGATCTGCAAAATATGATGTATTTGCGCTATACATTTCGAACAGTCTGGTCATCAATAGGTGTAGAAATCAGTTCAGATAAAAGCTTGTTTTTCATAATGCTGAAAAGAAAAAGGTTTATATCACTTAACCATTGCGAGGTGAATCAAATAGTCTAATCTTTAGATAGCGACTAAAAGCAGCCATAGAGAAAACATATTACGCTGCTAAAGGGATTGTAATTGAAATGACTAAGCCCATGATTTCACAGAGACCTAAACGTTACTCGCATGATTACATTACATCCCATTGGATTTATCGATTTAGATGCTTGTGTGGACATACATACATAGGGAGGAGTAATCGATCTTTGCAATCAAGGGTTATGGAACATGTTACTAAGTCGTTTTAAAATCAGTTAACATCAGACAACCCTATAAACGTGGGAAACATGAGACAGGGCACAAGAATGACATCAATATAGCCTTCAAACACATTGTTTAGAAATGTTGAAGGACGAATTTTGAGGTTTATGGAAACCTTGGCTATTCGAAAATTAAAATCCCCCTTATGTGTGCAGAAACCATTTGTTAAAACCTTGAATTTGCCGTGGTAATATGACAATATCCTACCCTTTCTTATCCTTTTCATATTACATTAATTTTCTCTCTCCTTTAGTATTACAATTATCACCTTATGTCTATTTGAACTTTTATTTAATTGACCTATTATTAATCTTCATATAAAATGCCTTAACAAGTGGATATGTGTGACCAGATTGTTTGAAATGTGTAGCGCAAATACATCACATCTCTCAGATCAATTACATCTTCTCACTGTTCCATCAAGATTCCATTTTAATTGATACACACACCAGAATAACTTATCCTTATTTCTCCTACCCTTCATTCATGATTTGCATGCTGAAACTAATTCAATAATGACTTTATTTTTCTCCATTCATTCATTAATGATTGATGGTGTTGTATGGAATTCCTTCGATTACTTTGTTTCGAAATCCATTTAAAATAAAAAATTACACATTTCATAATGTTTGTCTGTTAAACAAAATTGTTGTATTCATACCATAAATTTTTGGTAAATTTTATACAATCAATCATAATCAACAAACATATGGTCTGGCGCAAATGTACATACATTTCGATCCAATTGCCAATTTCACATCAGAGATGAATAACAAAATGGATTGAAATGAGAAAAATTAAAAGTACGGTTTAGAAACGTGTGTACAAAAGGAATATGAATGAGAGCAATGCGTTGATGTGACCACTCCTAGCTTTCTACTAACTTATCCTGGCAAAAGCCTTTGAAAGGCCTTTTTAGGTAAACTCTGGTTAAGTTTACTTACAACATATCCTAACCACTTCATTTAGTATGGATTTACAACTTCACTGGCCAATACAATTTTGGTATGGTTGTAAGTAAGTAGTATAGCAACTTAAGTCAAGGCACATCGACGCCAGGCTTTATGTTGATGTCATACATAGAATAAATATTAAAAAAATCACTGTTCACTTAGTTTCAACAAAAGTCGACTGTGAACTGGAACATCAATTTTTGTCTGCCACGCATTATAAACTAGTGAGATTTGCTTCAATGAATAACTTCAAGAAATCTACATCTTACAATTTGTAATCAGTTACCTTTACCAGAGTAGTAGTAGTAGTAGAATGTTCAATATAGTTTGATAAATAACGTTTTTTTGAGAACAATGATTGCATGTATATCTAAAGGGACGACGGTTGTTGATTGTTCTTTTTTGATTAAGTTCATATTCTACTGTATTTTTGATTGAGTGAATAGTATTTCAAATTATCAACTGTTCGTGTCAAAAATGAATCATAACTTACTCTTAGTACAAATTTGTATACTTCAGACTGACCCGCGCTGTTTGTGTGAGCGTTAGTAATACTACTCTAGGTGCCCAAACTTACGCAAATTGAGTACGGGTTTGAACACCTGTGATTTGAAGATTGATAGCCCTAATGCCTTGATCATTACTTCATAATCGCATACGACAAGGATGAAGATTGAAATAAATGTAAATTGAATTGATTTCTTTAGGGTTTTAGCTTGAAAAGAAATCGATTTCTTTTCTCATCATCTCTACTATAAGTATGAGGAATTTTAAAATTTTGATTTGATTTTGCTTGATAAGTATATTATGATCAAATATAAAATATACTTTATGGTTAGAAAATACATTGCATTCAATTAAGGCATAAAGTTATTTTTTCTCATTACAAATATTGTTTTCTATTGCTCATTTAAAACATTCTGCTACTTTAAAACTGATTTATTAATGAATACTTGAAAATACTATATAAAATTTTTAATCCGACATTCCTGTGTGATTCAATTTTGATATCTAATTTAATAATCTGTTAAACATCAGTATTCAACCATCTCATTGCATGAAAAATCATTGCATAGAATGTTGTTTTTTCAGAAAAAACTCATGAGAATAACTGTTATCAATTGGTTTTTTCTCTACTTAGACATGACAAATCCAAAAACTCATCAAAACAAAATGATAGACTCAAAAAACCCTACCCCTTACTTGCATTCTCAACTGTTGATCCACAAGTCACAGCAAATAAAGAATTCATCAACAGTCAAACCAATGGACACTGTAATATCGCATCCAACGGTAAACTATCAAACGGTTCTCACAAATCAATTAAACCAAAAGCAGTCAGTTTTGAACCAACACCTCCGAGAAAAGAAACCACCGATTTCAATGAAATCAAAACCAATCGTGCACAGAACACCTTGTTCACTAGTTTATCAACAGAAAATGGAACAACGACAGCAAATAAATACCACGGTAGAGAGTCGAAAGGAGCGATTCCAAATTTAATTTCTAGAAATGGTACAGTTCTGAAGTGTATATATATATATATATATATATCCCCTTGATTTACCTCTCATACTATGATTGCATTCGATAAACAAACAACTTTATTCGAATGACAATAGAACGAAAATTTTAAATGTAGACTTATGAAGAAAATCATGCATAAAATCTAGGAGAAGAAGGAGGTTTACTCTACGCTTTTCAAAATGTCACCGTTATTTCAAATGAACAAAAAGATACCATAGTAAACTAATTGAACTACAACACACTTTAATAGTATGCTAAAGATGAGAAACATTTGTATTTCAGCGAAAAAAAATGCTACATAAAAACATTCTCTTGTATAATCGTGTAATTTAAATGAAGAAGAATGATCATGTGCGACATTATCTTGTTTAATTCAAAAGAATAGAATAGAATTCAGTAGAATAATAGACGAAACAAAGCCATTGACTCTGATCTACTCTTTTTCGTGCGTTTTTAATGTATAATGCAAAATAGTTGATGGTGATAAGGCAATAAAATGTAACTTGAAACACGCATTCAATCATAAGGGAAACGATAAAAGCCTTTAGAGAAAAAAAGTTATCTATAGTTGTTCAAACAACACTTTGTTTACAACAACAAAAGACATAGTAGAATAGAAGTACATTTTGTTGATGTGTTTTTCTAAATCGGTATTTCTGAGTTTTCTGGATGATACTCAACTACTATTAGACGTATAAATAAACTGATTGTCCTTCTATCAGTTTGTTCTAAGAAACATCTTTTTTAATAAAATGGTATTTATATTTTGTGCTATAATACAATACACCGAAATACTATATTCAACGATTAATCCTCTTTATGTTACAACTTAGACAGTTCAGTGAAACAGAATTACAAAGACACCTGATAGTAGTCGACAGATTTTACTTGTCTGTTATTATAGAGTTCCTTATTGATAATTTAAAATAGTCTTCCGTTACTTTCAGTCCTGATGAAATTTTCTCTTGCAAACATCGGAGCTTCGGTTTATTATTTATACTACTACTTTTTTTTTACTAATTTATGATACTAGCTCTTTGATGTCTATTTATCTGTCACATTAACAAACTCCGTGAGTTTTAAAAAATCAGCAAATGCCTCATATCTAAGTTTTTAGTTTACACGTGAATAGCTCTTATATTTAGTTAACGAAAAACATCCCCTCTTCTATGTTCACGTCATAATGTAATGAACATACAAACGGATCACTTATTTATAATTTACACACCTTAATCTTTATGAAACGATTGATAATATTTCCTCTGCATGTAATCACAATTGATTTTTTTTCCAATTCATACTTTGATTTAGATGAAAATGGCACCAGTAAACCAGTTAGTAAACTAACACTTCTAACTAATCATCTAAAGCCTACTAAAATTGACAATCAACGCCTAACCACTGCTGTTGAACATCTTCATGATAATCATCATCATCATCAACAACAAAAACATTTACAATCAAAACCAACTGAATTCATCTCTGAACCACGTCTTGAAACAATGACTTATGAAGGACCAATGTGTTCTTTGAAAGATCCAATCATAATTAATACATTACAACGTAAATCAAAAACTACATTGCATAATCAATCCGAATCTGTTACATTGGCTAATTCTCAATCATCATCTATTAATAAACAAAATTCTCAACAACAACAACCAATTACAAATCAACATAATACAATACAACCAATAGTTGTCACTGAACGTCAAACACTTTCATCAAAAGATATATCTGCGCCATTATTACAAGCAACTACATATAATGAAAGTTTATCAGATTTAGAAACAGCCAGATTGAGATTAACATCACAGAAAGAGTTTGAACTTTGATTTATCATTATTATTCTCTGTTTGTTTGTGTATGTGTCGTCTACCGATTGATAGGTTTCTCATATTGTTGTTGTTGATCTGTTTACAATTCCAATCTCTAATCTAATCTATTCCTGCAATATATCTTGTTCTATGCTTCTTCTCCTTTTTTTATACTCTTCATTCCAGTGAAAAAAAAAAACTAATACATATATATTCACAATAATCAAGCAGAAATATCTCTATATACACTAATGATCTGATAATGTGAAAGTCAGACAACATATTTACATGTTAAAAATTACGTCATCACTATTATTATTGTTATTATTACTATTTTAACCAAATGTGATATTCTAGTCGTGTTGTTCTTTTCTTCTTTTGTTGTTGTTGCTTTGTTTTATTTTCTTCTATTTAATTTTAAATTTGTATTTTATCTGATTAACAATGAACTTTGTTTAAATCGATTGACACAAGTTCAGTCATTTAAAAGTAGTGAATATTCCAGGTTGACTTCAACTCAGGCTAATTAATATTAATATGGATGAATGAATTAGTTTACATGGAAAAATAATTCCATTCTCTCTCTGTGTGTGTGTGCGTGCCTATGCTTGTGTGTACTCTTTTTTTTTATATGTGATGATTTTGTTTGGTTGTTAGTCGTCGTAAACAACGAATATTTTTTTTTGTAATTGTAGTAGTAGTAGTGTTAGTAGTAAATGTTGTTGTCCCTTACAAAACTGATATTCTCTGCTTGGGAAAGAAAAACTCTTTTTTCCTTATTTACGGTTTTGCTTTTTGCAAAGTTCACACCAACAATCGATTGATTATGATAAATATACATATATATATGTAGAGATATACATAGATCTATTCATTTTATAACTTTCCACTTTTTCATCAATACATATAATAATTATGCTTCAATTTATTTTGAATTGAATTCAAATATCAACATCGAAATCAATGAATCGATCAATCAATCTCTCCAACCTGCTACATATACACAACAGTGTTTTAATAATTTCAATGAAAATTCCTGCTTTCTTACTTTTGTTTTTTTTTGGAATATTCCCTAAATTGCCTTTCTTTTTTTGTTATGTGAAACTATTTATTATCACGTATTTAATAAAACAAAACAAAAAAAAGTATTTTCCAGTCATGCAATGAGTTCTCTCTCTCATTACATGTGTATTCCAGTCAATGATGTAAAAGGGTATAAAAATAATCAGCCAGTCACCAGTGATGATGTATGTAATCAGGTTCGTTTGCTTATTCTTGTCACAGTTTCGTTTTGTAATCCTATGTATACGGGATTGATTAGTTTACCAAACATCCATCAAAACATCAGACTAATAAATAACGTGTATATATCACGTTGAAATAAAATTTAAATGCTTTAATGCTGAGAAATTGCTTTGATTTGTCTCATGATCATTAAATTTCTTCAAACAAAAAGTGGAAGTAGGAAACAGTTTATGCCTATTCTTTCTCAAAAAAAAGTATCATCGTTGTATGTCCAGTAAAATAATGAAATACTGTCTTATTAGAATTTTTTGTAAAAAAAAAATTATTTCGGCAAGTGTTTAGTTGATTTGTCGTTTTGAACAAGATCACGAATACCACCAGTCTGAAAATAGGGAGAAAGAAAATCACAATGACAATGTTATATTAAGGAGTGTTCTTCATCATGTTCAGAGCCAGGTGGGATGAGTTTTTGAGCATCCATCAATTCAGTAGATGCTACTGAGATCCAAAGCTTCATTCTAGCCTTATGGTTTACCTTACAAGCACATATCACTGCTGTTTCCACAGCCTTCTTGATATCATTCCAACCTGCTTCCGAATGGGAATCATTTACATGGTTGCTTAACTCTCTTTCTAGTTGTTCCTGAAATATATTCTTAGCTTTATTAGAATTAAGTAAAACCCTAAGAGGCTTTCTTACAGTATCTTTCCTACGCCCAGTAAGCTTCAAACAAATACGAGCTCGCACTAGGGCATGATCTGAATCCAAACATGTGCCCCAGAACGAGCGACAGTCTTCTATCGAACCCCTCCATCGGTGGCTGATGACGATGTGATCTAGTTGCGTCCAACGTTGGGACGACTTTGGAGGTCGCCATGTCAACAGATGCTTTTCCTCATGCCCAAAGTTGGTGTTCGCTAAGAATAGGCGGTTGTCTGAGCATACTTGCAACAGACGGTCGCCATTGTCTGTTCTGTGAGCCGCGACACCATAACATCCACCTAGGTGTCTTTTCTGCTCACTTAGTCTACCTACTTGAGCATTAAAGTCACCAGCCATTATTACTACATCAGAACGCTTAACATCTTGAAGAGAGTCAGAAAGCTTTCTGTAAAACTCATCTTTCACCTCGACTGAACTGCAGTTAGTGGGGGCATAGGAAGATACGACGAAGAGGCAACCACGGGTGTCCCTATCCTTCCGAGTCCTTACTGTCCCGTTCAGTTGGATGACGCACAAGCGACTATCTAACGGGATCCAGTCTAGGAGAGCTAGTTCTGCCCTACGACTCAATACTATACTTACACCCGCAAGACCCAGGGAAACAGCATCAGGGCAACCGGATACACGAAGAGTAAATCGAGCTGCTTCTTTATTTTGATAACGTAAAATCAGATTAGTGATTCTACTAGGATACTGTATGCGCCTTTCCGAGATGCAGCACACATCGATGGCACGAGATTCTAAAGTCTTAGTTAATGATGCCTGTTGCCCTATTTGACACAACGTCCGTAAATTAAATGCTCCAACATATAGTTTAAAACGGAGTTTAAGGAAACCAGGAATGACGTTTCGTGAACTCGCATCGTTTGCGTTCGCGGTGCAGTGAGCTGAAGGAATGCAACTAGAGTTAGTCGTGGAGATACGAGGAATATTAGGCGGTGTAGGAAGGATTTGATTTTGACCAAGTTGGTCTCGTGCGCTGTTACGGGTATGAGGGCGGTTGTCACTTCCCGGCTGCCCACACCGTAGAAGGTTGTTTCTTGAGGAACCTGAAAAGGAAGGTAGGTCAGTGTTGGTCTTAGAGACCTGGAAGCGTGACCGCAGAGTCCAAGGGACAACTGCTTGAGGTCGGTCATGCACGGCCTTTTCATGAAAGGATTTTTGAGTATTAGCTCCGCTCTTAAAAGCCCTTAATGGGCACCCTTACCGCCGGAGACGGAAATCCGTGAGGTAGGGTGAAATGTGACATTTTTGGGGTGAACATTTTCTAACCCTTCCTTCCTTGTGAGAAGGCAGCATCGCTGCAGATGCTGGTTGTCCGAGGGAAACACCTTACTGCCGTCACACCCCTCTGCAGTTAGCGGTACGACTTCGCCCTCAGACCTTGAGTAGCTGCTTTTAGTCTCATCGTTCTCCAATCGACTTGCCTGGCATGGTAGAACCTTCAGGAACATATGTTCCAGCCAGTATAGCTCAGTTGGTTCATCACGACAAGCTGTTAAGTTCTCTACTTGAGTAACGCCAAACCACTGTACAAATGTCAACACCGAACGTTAGACTCCCACCGTTCAAAAATAAGAAGACGAAAGACGTCGGAGAGCACTTATTAGCGGAATCAAAATATACAATAAAACATGCGTATTTATACAATTATATAAATAATCGATATTGTCCTTGAAATATTTAAACATTCAATCGATAATTTCATCGATCGACTGCCCTTGAAATATTTAAGCATTTAATCGATAAGTTCGTCAATCGACTATGTGCGCGGGTGGCTTCTCGATGGCTATCTCGACACCTCCCCGAAATAAGATTTTTTTCTTGCGTCCACTTGTAGTCTTACGACTGGGTTGCGGCGGCGTTCCATTCTGTTTGTAGTTTTTCTAGTTAGTGTCTCCGACCTTCCCTTTTCTTCGGTATTCCGGGACAAATGTGTAGTTGTCGGTTCTGTGATCAGCTCCAGCGGTAGATTTACGTGATTATCACCCGAGCGAACCATTCTTTTTTCCTTTCGCATTTGGTTCGTGTGTCTGACACAGCTTCCGAGAGCTCCTGTTATCCGATACAAAACTCTTCCTAGTCTTTGTACAACGGTTCCTGGTGCCCATCGATTTTTCCCCAGATATGATTTTAGAAATACTTTATCGCCAACGTTAAAGCTGCGCATATTTTGATTTGGCCTGTACCTATTCACTCTTTTAGGGGGCAACATCGCGTTAAAAATAGTCTGAATACTTCTTCTAAACATTGCTTCAGCTGGAGAATTTCAATCTCTGACCGTATGTTTTGGAATGTTTAAGTGAGCCGTTAAAAATCTGGTGATTACTTGGCTAATTGACCCTTCGTCTCTCCCTTTCAGTAAAGCTCTTTTGAAGGTGTCGGCGAGGCGTTCTGCTTGTCCATTGGATTGGGGATGGTAAGGTGGGGACCGTAGATGCGTTATGCCGTTTGAACTGCAGAACCGCTTGAATGATTCCGCAACAAATTGTGATTCATTATCAGCTATCAAGGTTTCTGGCACTCCGAAACAACTAAATAAGGTAGACAGCTTCTGGATAGTTTCCGAGGCTTTGTAAGCATGAAAGGCAGTTTCGGCATTTGGTTTCTATATCTTTATCCATCGAGGGCCAGTAGGCGTAGCTGTGCGCCAATGATTTCATCTTGTTTATTCGAGGGTGACCACTGTGAAATTGCTTGAGGGTTTTATGTCGCAATAATTCTGGAATAATAATTCGGTCACCAAACATAATGCATGAATCGATAATAGTGAGTGAATCGCGCCGGCGGAAATATTGTTGCAGTTCTCCTTGTAGACGACGATTCAGCCACTTGGAGAGGAGATAACCCTTAACTTCTTGTAGTAATTTGTCATTTCTTGTAGCTTCTTTAATAGCCTTGAATGTAACTGGTAGACCATCTACTGCGTCTTCCTACACTCGATGTACTTCTGACTCAATCGCTGCCACTAAAGTATCTTCTTCCTGATTCGCTTGAGAACCAATGAGCCTAGACAAAGCGTCAGCTTTTCCAAAAGCAGTAGTAGGTTGATACTTAATTCTGAAGTCGCAACCCAATAATGTGGTTCCATATTGTTGCGATCTGTTTGCAGTATAGACTGGGATACGTTTCGTTGACCCAAATACGGCTACCAGCGGTTTATGGTCAGTTAAGAGTGTGACGCTGCATCCAAATATCATCTTGTGAAATTTGCTTACAGCAAAAATAATTAACAATGCTTCTTTCTCAATCTGACTATAGTTACATTCTGCTGTAGTTAAAGACCTTGCTGCATGCGAGATTGCCCTCTCTGATCCATCAGGCATGATATACGAAATGCTTGCTCCAATGCCGTAGTTTGAAGCATCTGACGCTACTACAATAGGGAGGGATGGGTCATAGTTTGTTAGCGACAGATCCGAGAGTAGCAGTTTTTTAATCTTCTCGAAAGCAGTTTGACAACTTTTGGACCAACACCACTTTACGTTCTTTGCTAAAAGACTGTTTAATGGGGAATGTAGACGATGAAGGTCAGGGATAAAAACTCCATAATGACTAACTAGCCCCAAAAAGGATCGAAGTGTGGAAACATCTGTCGGTCTCGGCATTTCTTTCAAAGCTTGAGTGTTCTCTGGATTTGGTTTTCTCCCGTCTTTATCGATAATAAAACCGAGGTAGCGTACACTCTGCATGCAAAAGTCGCATTTTTCCACCCGAAGCCGGAATCCATATTCAGCTATTCTTGATAGCACCTGGTCGAGCTTCTTTTCTAAGTCTATTCTATCAACGCCCATAATTATTATGTCATCCAGGTAAGCTGCAACGCCAGGGAGATCATGTAGCATAGTATCCATCACCTGTTGAAATATGAAGGGCGCCGTTTTGACTCCAAAAGGTAACCGATTATATCGGAATAGGCCCTTATGTGTGTTTATAGTAAGCAGATCTTTACTTTCATCAGCGACAGGAATCTGTAAATAAGCTTCCGATAAATCCAGTTTTGCAAACACCTTGCCTCCATTCAGCAAAGCGAAAAGATCCTCAGGTATAGGCAAGGGATACTGGTGGGGTTCTAGAGCATCATTCAGTCCAGTAGAGTAATCAGCACATAGACGGACACTGCCGTTTAACTTCTTGACCACCACAATCGGTGCAGCCCATTTGGAGAAACTCACAGGTTCAATAACACCCATTTTTTGAAGTCGTACCAGTTCCTGTTCAACTACTGAGAGAAGCATAAGGTACAGGTCTTTTTGGTCGAAAAACAGGAATAGCTGTTGACTTGAGAGTCAGTAGTGCTTTGGCTTTCGTACATTCGCCCAACGCTTCCGAAAATACGTGATGATGCCTTTTTATAATGGCATTTCTCAGACTTGACTCCAAAGGGTTATTGATTCTAACTCGGCTGCAGATATTGTTGATAGGATGGTCTGCTAATTTTAATGCATCTGTAGTGTGCCGATTCGGGCGTGTTCTTACGTTTCGTAATAAGCTCGTTCAGATTGTCTTATCCCAAATGACGTCTGACGGTTAATAAATCAGAAGATGAACTCCAAGTATCGTATACGTTTATTGTAGCACACCACAATAAGGGTAGCAGAGAAGCGAATTGGAGAAGGCTAAGAGCCAACTCAAAGAGATAGAGTATGACTAAGAAT